CAGCTGTAGGCTCAGTTCAGATCGCATGTTAGTAGGAACTAGCACTTCCATGCGCAATTTACACATCTTTCCGCATGTCATGCATAGGGCAGCCCATTCAATTTAATACTCCAAAGACATGCTGGTAGGTTAATTGGATCCTGTCCAGGGGCGGACTGACCATTTGGAAACTTGGGCACTGCCCGAGGACCCGGGGTCAGTAGGGGGGCCCCATGAGATGCCCCTGGTACCTTTTTCATAGGCCTTTTTGAGTTTGGGCAAGTACACAGGGGCCCCATGATCCCCTATTGCCCGGGGACCCCATGAGTTGTCAGTCCACCCCTGATCCTGTCTAAAATTGTCCCTAGTATGTGTATGTATGAATGTGAGTTAGGGACCTTAGATTGTACGCCCCTTGAGGGTTAGGGACTGATGTGAATGTGCAATATATATGTAAAGCGCTGCGTAAATTGACGGCGCTATATAAATACCTGAAATAACAGGCTGCTGCTGCCCTAGGCATGTTTATCACCCAAATAGAGGTCCTGCTACTTTCTGGGTGACAAACTTAGCACGGTTTTTAAATGCAGGTTTTGCTCGACTGCCGTGCAACAATCATGGCAGAATCGCACCACATTTGGGGTGTCACTACGTATAATGACATCCAAGCGCATGTTGCACATTTTGCCGTAAATCGGATTTTAAATTGCCTAATGTGAACAGGGCCTTAAAGAATGTATAAACCCAACATTTCATGTTCCTGATATGTGCCTGCTGTATCATATACTTGTATGAAAAAGTATCCTGTTCTTTTTGTATTGCTTCCTTTGTGTGAAACCCCTGGTGTTCCTGCCAGTCCCTCTGCTTTCCTATTAAAAACTGACCACACTAGGCATGAGATCACAGTGTGGTCAGTTCTCTAGCTGTGCTGGGAACTCAGCCTGCTCTCCTCCAATGGTCAGACTTGTCCTAATATACCCCCCTCACAATCATTCACTGGAAAGTTTAGTGTGCTGCTGTTTCTCTTCACCCAGCTATCTGCACAAGGATCTTAGTGGGAATGTGATCACTTAAAAACAGAGGAAAAAAAGGTATTTATATTTTTTTTTGGCCAAGACTTATGCTGATACACCCCTGCACAGCCATTCACTGTAAAGACTAGTGTACTGCTGTTTCTCCATCCCCAGCTCTCTAAGCCTCTTATGTTGCTAAGAACAGAGATCATGTGATCACTTATAATAAATGAAAAAAAAAAAGGTATTTATAATGTTTTTTTATATCTATACACACACGTTTTGCATTTCAGTTCTATTTAAAACTTAAATGGGTTGATATACAAGGCGAGGGTTCCACTTATACTTTAATCTAAGGACATCCAGATGCTGCATTGAAAGAATAAGACCATGGAAGTAAAATGATTTGCTCCAAACCCCCCCCCCCCCCCCCCCAGCTGTAGTTTTCTTAAGCTTTATATTAGTTTTATCCATGAAAACATTTGACAAATGTTTCCAATACCCTGTTGATAGAACTTTTCCCATACTGACCGTTAAGCTGGCTGGAAACAAAACAATACACAGAGCAGTTCTGTCATCTGGGTGTCTAGAAACATCCCCTCCAATTTCAAGAGATAAAACTAGGCAGAGAAAAGAGGTTTGCAGTTGGTTCTAGATAATCTTTAATTATTTCTCGTTCTTTTATTCAGCAATGGTTAATTGTTAACTGTCAAATACCATGACTGGTAAAGGTTAATCTGTAATGTGCAGAGTTACATATTACAGTACATGTTACTATGTAGTGTCATACATGACCTATCAGAAGGGAGGCGACTTCCACATCAGAACGAATAGATTCCATTCAGTATTAGTATTAGATTAGATTCATTTGAATATATTGTGTAAGTGCCTCCCAATGAGAGTATTTTCTCCTTTATTTATGTTCCCAGTGACATACAGTCATGGCCCGAAATTGTTGGCACCCTTGATATTTTTCCTTGAAAATCAAGTATTTCACACAAAAAAGGTTATTGCATTAACACATGTTTTGCTATACACATGTTTATTCCCTTTGTATGTATTGGAACAAATATAAAACAGAGGCAGAAAAGCAAATATGACATAATGTCACACAAAACCCCCAAAAATGGGCTGGACAAAAGTATTGGCACCCTTAACTTAATATTTGGTTGCACACCCTTTGGAAAACATAACTGAAATCAGTCGCTTCTATATACCCATCAATAAGCTTCTGACACCTCTCACCCGGAATTTTGGACCACCTCTTCCTTTGCAAACAGCTCCAGGTCTCTCTTATTGGAAGGACACCTTTTCCCAACAGCAATTTTAAGATTCTCCACAGGTGTTCAATGGGATTTAGATCTGGGCTCATTGCTGGCCACTTCAGAACTCTCCAGCGCTTCTTTGCCATCCATTTCTGAGTGCTTTTTGACGTATGTTTGGGGTCATTGTCCTGCTGGAAGACCCAGGATCTTGGACGCAAACCCAGCTTTCTGACACTGGGCCCTACAGTGCGACCCAAAATCCTTTGGTAATCCTCAGATTTCATGATGCCTTGCACACAGTCAAGGCACCCAGTGCCAGAGGGCAGCAAAAACAACCCCAAAAACATCATTGAACCTCCACCATATTTTACCGTAGGTACTGTGTTTTGTTCTTTGTAGGCCTCATTCCGTTTTCGGTAAACAGTAGAATGATGTGCTTTACCGAAAAAGCTCTATCTTGGTCTCATCTGTCCACAAGACGTTTTCCCAGAAGGCTTTTGGCTTACTCAAGTACATTTTGGCAAACTGTAGTCTTGCTTTTTTATGTCTCTGTGTCAGCAGTGGGGTCCTCCTGGGTCTCCTGCCATAGCGTTTCATTTCATTTAAATGTCGACGGATAGTTCGCGCTGACACTGATGCTCCCTGAGCCTGCAGGACAGCTTGAATGTCTTTGGAACATGTTTGGGGCTGCTTATCCACCATCCGGACTATTCTGCGTTGCAATCTTTCATCAATTTTCCTCATCCGTCCACGACCAGGGAGATTAGCTACAGTGCCATGGGTTGCAAACTTCTTGATAATGTTGCGCACTGTGGACAAAGGCAAATCTAGTTCTCTGGAGATGGACTTGTAACCTTGAGATTGTTGATATTTTTTGCCACAATTTTGGTTCTCAGGTCCTCAGACAGTTCTCGTCTCCTCTTTCTGTTGTCCATGCTTAGTGTGGCACAGACAGACACACACAATGCAAAGGTTAAGTGAACGTCTCTCCTTTTTATCTGCTTTCAGGTGTGATTTCTATATTGCCCACACCTGTTTACTTGCCCCAGGTGAGTTTACAGGAGCATCACATGCTTGTAACATTCTTATTTATCCGCAGTTGTGAAAGGGTGCCAATACTTTTGTCCAGCCCATTTTTGGAGGTTTGTGTGACATTATGTCGAATTTGCTTTCTTTCCTCCCTTTTTTTGTTTTGTCCCAATACACACAAAGGGAATAAAACATGTGTATAGCAAAACATGTGTTAATGCAATACGTTTCGTGAGAAATACATGATTTCCTGGAGAAATATCAAGGGTGCCAACAATTTCGGCCATGACTGTATGTAACAATTTGGATGGCATTGGTCAGGTTGAACACAGGTTGAACACAGGCAGTAATTAAAACATGACCGAGATTTTAAAAACGTCCATATTTTATCCAAAATGAAAACAAAAACAAATGTGGCTGCACAGCATGAGGAAAGTACTGCCGATAACTGGCAATTGTCAGAGGGTGGATTGGCACTGATCATCAGTGCCCAGCAGTGCCACCCTCCAGTGCCGCCCATCTGTGCCCCAGCAGTGCCACCCACCTGTGCCCATAAATGCCTGGTAGTGGCACCCACCTGTGCCCATCAGTGCCACCCATCAGTGCTGCCCAGCAGTGCCACCCATCAGTGCCCAGCAGTGCCATCAGTCAGTGCCACCGATCAGTGCTGCCCATCAGTGCCGCCTATCAGTACCCATCAGTGCCCATCATTGTTGCATATCAGTGCCGCCTCATCAGTGCCAGCTCATCAGTGTTGCCTATCTGTGCCACCTCATCAGTGCCGCCTAACAGAGCCCATCAGTACCGCCTATCAGTGCCCATCAGTGCTGGCTATCTGTGCCACCTGAGTGCCGCCTAACAGTGCCCATCAGTACTGCCTATCAGTGCCCATCAGTGCAGCCTATCAGTGTCCATCAGTGCTGCCTATCTGTGCCACCTCATCAGTTCTGCCTATCAGTGCCCATCAGTGCTGCCTATCAGTGCAGCCTCATCAACGCATATCAGTGAAGGAGAAAAATCACCTGTTTGCAAAATTTTATAATAGAAACAAATAAAAACATTTTTTTTCAAAATGTTTGCTCTTTTTTTGTTTATAGCGCAAAATATAAAACACACAGAGGTGATTACATACCACCAAAAGAAAGCTCTATTTGTGTGAAAAAAATGATAAAAATTTCCTATTGGTACAGTGTTGCATGACCACGTAATTGTCATTTAAAGTGCGACAGCACTAAAAGCTGAAAATTGGCCTGGGCAGGAAGGGGGTATAAGTGTCCGGTAGGCAAGTGGTTAATTAATCAACTTCTCTCTACTGTACACTTGGCCCTCCCTTTTAGATTGCATGCTCTCCCATACATAGCTCTCCTGTCTTGAATTGTGCTGTAACTGTACTATATCCCTTTATTGCTCAAACTGTTAGTGCTATATAAGTCCTGAATAATAATAATATAATGTTTCTGTAGAATGCTTTTAAGATACAGCTCTAGCTTTCCAGGTCCTTTTATTTTTTTTCCTGATTATTGCTCCCATAGTAACATAGTTTCAAAGATCATGGTCTAATTGCTGGGAACATTTATGACTCCTGCCGGTGCAAAGTTCACTAGGAAAACTAGATACAAATATTAAATCCGGATGTGGATCTTTACTCGCCAGCAACAGCCCAGACCCATAGGTGTGAAGAAGACCAGGAAATAATAGCGGAAATAATTAAGAAATGCCCTCAAAGCAGAAGACGTTGTTGTTCTTTGCTGGCTTTGTATCAAGCATCGCATCCTTCGCAGTCATCTGTACATGCTTGGGGACTGAGCAATGGGTTACCAGCAGGATCCAGTTTACAGGAGTGAATTATGGAGGAGAAGCATACGTAAAACTTGGACTGTTTGTTGTCAGGCGCAATAAGACTATCACAAGCGGTGTGGCACTGGAAACCGGGGAGAGCTCCAAACAAGGTAAGGCCTGTCCTTCCATTGCAGGATATCTGAATAACCCATCTCAGCTTGTTGAACTTATCTCCTGTGAAGCTCACCTAGTGTCAAGGTAAAGCTGACCACATGCTAGTAGAATTCCAACTTTTTCATTTTAAAGTGGAAGTTCACTCTTAAAGTTCTGCTTTTCTGTCCCCCCCCCCCCCCTTCTCTTCAACCTTTGGTACTTTTTTTGGTGGTGGGGAGGGGAGGAACAGGTACCAGGTTTTGTCAGGTTCCTGCTCACACTTCTACCTGGATCCCCTAGACAATTCAGGAGGAAGTTGACCCCCCACCAACAGCCTCTTGGGACACACCACAGGTCCCAGGATGCTGCAGGACCATTCACAATGCACATCATGGCTCATGTGTGTGCGCTAGGGAGTCTCCCCACAGTTAGTATGGGTGCACCAGAGACCTGAAGGCCAGAAAAGACACACCACAGGTCCCAGGATGCTGCAGGACCATTCACAATGCACATCACGGCTCATGTGTGTGCGTTAGGGAGTCTCCCCACAGTTAGCATGGGTGCACCAGAGACCTGAGGGCCAGAAAAAACACACCACAGGTCCCAGGATGCTGCAGGACCATTCACAATGCACATCACGGCTCATGTGTGTAAGTTAGGGAGTCTTCCCACAGTTAGCATGGGTGCACCAGAGACCTGAAGGCCAGAAAAGAACCAGCCCAGGTGAGAACAGCACTGGATCCCTGGATAGGTAAGTGTCCTTTTGTTAACCCATTCTTTGCCACCTCCAGGCCTTAGAGTTTCTAAATGCCGGAAGGTGGAGGCGGGCCTTTCTGATCATGTGACCACTGCGATTGGCAGTCACAGCGGTCAAATGATCGGAAAGTTCCTGATCACAAGTATGTATCACAAGCTTTCCAGTACCCAATGGTCACTGTGCTGGTAGTGCGCATTGAGCATGCTCTCAGCACAGTAATTTATTTACATAAAGGGCACATATATGCAGCCTTTCGGTATTAAAGCCCTATATATGCGTATTGCCAGCTGCAACTGGTTAAAAGGCAGTAGCTACAGTATACAGTATGTAGTATGTAGCTGCTGACTTTTTTTTCACTTTAAGAATGTTTGCTTTTTTAATTGTTAGTGGAGTCAAATCAACGTTCATTTTTGACCGCAGAGTGATGAGAAAATTCGGAGAAGGAGCAGGATTAACATTTTTTTCTCAAATAAACACATTTCTAACAGTAGTTTCCATTCAGGAAAGTCCATTAGCTGCAAAATTGAATGTTAAAAGCAAATAACACCTTGAATTAGTTTAAAATGATATTTGTCAGGTCATCGAATGTACTTTGAATTTTCATATGAATATCCCTTCAAAAATCTACTAGTTTATGGCCAGGTTTTAGCCCACACATACTCAATTCATGGGGACACTTAGACCTAGTACCTCATTTTGCCAAATCTGAACCCAAATAAAGGTGTAAGAAAACATTCTGAGTGCTGCTCACCTACAAAATTGGGTGGTGGCTCCCAGTGCCAGGGTTCCACTACAGTTCCATTGAATACAGAGCTGTGAAGCATCAACACAAAGGACCCCAGCACAGGAGACTTTTGGATTCCTGTTGAGTTACATTAATTATGCTAAATGCATAAAATCTGTTGTGTGCTGCTATGTACATATTTTTGATGCACAAATCCTTTACAATGTATATTTGCTGCAAAATATTTCACTTTTTTTTTTAAATGCCCCTAACCTGTTTAAAGCTGATCTCTAGCCCAACTTTCAGTCTTGCTCAGTTGTACCGACATCTTTCCTATAATGCAATGGCTTACTCTTATTTCACTGCACATTGTTACATTCTCACAATGTACATTAGAAGCTTCAGCAAGTCAGAGATAGCCCAATTATTTTTCTGGCTGAAGGATGTCCAGCATCATCTAGCACTTGTATTGAATTTCAGTTCTCTCAGTTGTGAAGACTGAGCATAATGTCTGGCCTTTACATAGGACCGTCAGGGTATTAATCAGTCTAAGAACCCCAGCTTCTTCAAAGTGACACCCACCCTACAAGGCATTTTGATATTTGCATAACTTCTCTCAAGAGCCAGCCCACTACTTGTGCAACACCCTCCAGGTTAGCTAGAGGTTTTTTTTTTTTCTAGATAGAGGCTGAGTAGCAGAGTGGGATGAGTCAGCCTTGGAGTGAGACAGGAGTTCACCTCAGGACAGGATAGATGGTCCTACAGGTCAGGGCTTCTGGAGCCCTCCCACCTCTCTCTAGAAACTTGAGAACTTTCTAGAACAGGGGAGGAGAAGGGGAGGAAGCCCAGATCTGCATGTTTGAGGGACCCTGGCCAATCCCCTGGCAGGAGGCTTGGCATGGTGAACAGGGCAACCCTAAAATATGACACAGCCTGGGGAGAAAGTTGGAGTCAAGAGGAAGGCTGAAGTGTGGAGCCTGGGAGGGGGACCCAGGGAGGGGAGCCCACCTACAGGCTGGTTGCTGGACAGGAGGATCCCCACTGCCTAAAGTCTCCTAGGGAGGACATCCTGACAGCAGGGAAGGAGCCAGCCCAGTGTAAGGCCTGAAAGCAGCCCCCCAACCCACCATACTGACAGAACAGGGCAGTATGAGTACTCCTACACGCCCGGGTTTTGAAAGGAAGAAAGCACTTGAGCAGAACATACATATGACAGTGCTAACTACCCATCCACTATGCTGTCCATATATATTACTTCATTGCTGTATATTACACATTTTCTTCTTCTAACCCCCCCTAAGTCCTTCTAATATAGGGTTCTATATGTGCTCACTGCTTGTTTATACTTTGTTACCATCTCTCATTTCAGTGTTTGATCTATTAAAAGAAACAAACAATGTGAAGATTGCCCACATTATCGTCATATTATTCCTTGTGTTCGGTCTTGCTTGCTGTTTGATGGGATCAGTGACTACTTGTTTGAATAGTGTCAGCAATCCCTATATAACCTTCTTGGGTCCCCAGGGCGTCTATGTGTGGAGTTCTATAAATGGTGAGTGGATGGTAAGATATGAAATCCTAAATAAGGGGGTGGGGTCCTGATAATAATCAATGATTTATAGGGGAGGAGCTTAGATGGAGGTTTTCCTCTAGGAGAGCCCAATGACCACAGTCTAGCACATGCACCCTTTAATAATTAGGCAAATGACCCACATGAAAAATGTTTGACTGACATTCCAAAAGTTGTCTATTTTTATTTTTGCATAAAAATGTTATTGAAAATATTGTTGTACCTTCATAATCTGCTCCATCAGCTGTGTGTAACTCACATCTCCTTCTCCCTAAACATGCAGTTTAAGCAGACTGAATAAGGTAGGAAAGATAAGTGAATTGTGACTTTGATCACAATCCTGGTTGTAGGGGTCTGTGGGCAGGGGGTTTATCAGAATCTGGAATCCCCCTTTAATAATACGGGGGCCCCCAGATACCACCCCCCTTCCTGTACATTAAAGAGTACCAATACTCATTCACAAAAAAAAGATTAACCTAGAAATAAACACACGCAAACATTTGGCAAGTCCTTTATTAAAAAATAGAAACCCCCAAAAACTATTTCTCATTGTAAATCCATCACGCCGACTTGCCCCCAAAATAACAGATGACAGATCCCAATGTTACCTATAGCCATTGACATAGCCTTGAGTTGTCATCAGCTATATAAGGAAAGGGGCAAGTATAGTGGTGACATCATTGCTCAAATGGGCATATATTTAGGCAATGATATAACCCCTCCAGTCCTTGTCCATTTACTTACATGGCAAGAGATTTTTGGCTATGTAAATTAATGGGTCCGGTGATGTCAGTGGTTGGTAAGGACATGATGAGTGAAAGCACCAGCTGCTTCCTTAGCAGTCATTGACAGCCAGGAGCTGTGAAGTTCATCTACATTGAATGTCCTAAATGTTTGGCATGCAGAAGAATGCCCAAACACAGAGCCTAACCTAATCTACATATCTGAGGAAGCTTAAAGCATACAGTAGTTGGACCAATGTACTATGCAAAAACAAGCATAACCAAAATTCAACTGTAAAAAAGCTATTTTGTAAACAAACCCATCAAAAACAATAATTTGGCCTGACCTCTGACCCAACATGAGTGATTTAATGTTCTTCCCAATGGAGCATTAAGCCTAAATACCTGCTAGGATGCACTCCAGTCCATTGCAAGAGTGCATTCTCGAGCCATTTCAAGTTCCTGGCAAAGGTATAACAGTGACGCCACCCATATCCCCTGGGAATGCCAGGAGCCAGGGCTGAGATTAGTATATTCTATTTTCTCAGGTGAATGATTTGTTTACAAATTTGTGAAGGAGGGCAGGAGAATGGCATGGAATGTACATTTTAAACCAATCAGGGTATCCATAAACACATAAGGAAACTAGTGGAACTTTTAAAGTGCCAGCAATTCCAATAATCCATATATGTTAAAGATAAAATGTATTTTTATAGATTACAGAAACTGTTAAAAAGAATTGTGTTTTGTATATTGGTAAATATACAAGCAAGCCCAATGATTTGGTGTAGTCAATTTAAGTAAATACATTCTCCCACACTTTCTAGTGCCCCTATACCCCCACTTTCATTGTTCAGTATGCAGATAGTTACAAAAGTTTGAGGTCTCAATAAATCTAATGTTCCAATGGTGGAAGGGGTCAGATTCTCATGCCTCTCTTGTGGTTTGAGGTGGACATCACATATTTATTAGCTTCTGTCTCCTGAGGAAGCAAAGTTGTGAAATGCATTGAGATTCTTCTGCCTTTCCACCACTTGAACATCAGATTAAGAGGCCTTTTAATTCTACAACATATTTGAGTTTTTCACAAGGAGAGTATATGTTTAGGGATGAAAGAAAGTGAGGGATACTGTCATTACTTAATCCCCCCAAGAAATTCCTTGCACTTGCTTGTATATGTACCAAGGGTGTTTCTACCATTAGACAAGTTGAGTAGGCTGTCTGTGGCGACAGTCATGGATGGCAATGAAGCACAGACTCAATTGCATTGAGCTCCCTGTCCCATCCATCCCCCAACCCCCCTTTCTGGACATGCCCCATGTAAAAAGTATTTTTTTTTATTCCATAAAAGTTTATTAGTGAGATACAGAATGGTACAGGAAATATACGTATGAATCGGATAACAGGCGTTTGACAAAGCATAAAACAAGAAACAGGAAAAATGGAAGAAAATGCAACACTGTGAGTAAAATTAACATGTCAGGTCACGACAAGGATAGTCCTGTAATACTGTATATATATATATATATATATATATATATATATATATAGGAACCTGTAAGAGAAGGAAGAAAAGAGAAGAAAAGGTGGGAGTAGGGGTAACACAAAAAAAAAAAGGGGGGGGGGGGGAGAGGAGGGGAGGGGAGCAGTGGGAGGGGATGAGGTATGGGAGGTGGAAACTTGTGGATTTTGTGTCATCGTCAGTACAGTAGGTCAAAAATGGATGAGCCTATGCTCTAGATTATCACCAGTGTCAAGCAGTCGGGTGTAGAGCACCGAAGGGAAGGCGTTGCCATCCAGTCCATGGAGGGTAAAGGAATATTACCAGCAGTACGGCTAAGTTAGATCAGATATCTTGACCCATGAGGGAGTAAAAACTAATTTTAACATTTTTTTATTAATAAAAAATATATTTTATCTTAAATATAACATGTATGGGTTGTTTGCAATTACTGGCACCTTAGTCTCCAATTCTTTCTTTATGTGTTGCGAATATCCATCCTATTTCATATTTGATACCTAGACCTATCAACCTGCTCAACCTTTCACAATGACTGATATGCTTTAAACCAAGCAGAACACTGCTGTAGTGTGACCTCATTGATCAATGTGTTGCAAATAAGAATGATCTGTGTTGCATGTTGTAGCAAATCAGATATCTAATTTCTCTCTTCTGATGCAGATTTGTGTCTGGTAGCTGTAGGGTAACATAAATAATACCTTTTTATATTTATATCAAATAACATTGTGGGATGTTGTTCCAAGAAATATTTGATTGCCTTTGGGAGTCAGGAAGCAATCAGATTATATAAATATATAAGAGGTCAAGGTGCAAGTCTGCCCCTCTATCTCACCTACCTCTCTACATAACACGAAAACTCTCTGTCAGTGAAATTAGTCTTTATATCAGCCTTTCTCAACCAGGGTTCCTCCAGAGGTTGCTAGGGGTTCTGTTCTGCTTTCCCAATCTAAGAATTGCAATTGTGATCTCTATAGCTGATTGAGTTATAGTAAGATATCTGTAACTTACAAGCTCAGCAGCGTTGGCAGATAATTAGGCAAGTTGAGTAGTCTGTCTGTGTCGACAGTCATGGATGGCAATGAATCACAGACTCAACTGCATTGAGCTCCCTGCCCATCCATCCCCCCAACCCTAACTCCCTGTCCATCCATCCCCCCAATTCTATCAAAATTACATCTTACAAATCATAAAAAGCTTTAATCGAAAACTTGTGCAGATCTTCACAGATGAACATAAGAGAGGTCAAAAGATCATAGTGGGCGTATCTGCACCAATTACATGTGCTGGGAACGAAAAATAAAAAGAGAGTGGGACTAGCTATACAGAGCTTCTCCTAGCTATGGCCTGAGGAAGGGACAAAATTAACTATAGGCAAACAAACAATGCATGTGTAACATGATAGGTTTCTTCAGCAAAGAGCAATCACTAACACCAATTAGCAATGCTCTTTTCAGCTATCTGTAGAGGGGGCATTCTTTCTACCAAATCTCATTGTAAGGGGTATTCTTCCCACTGACCCCCAGTGTAATGGGTCCCTCTTTCCCAAATGGTCACCAATGTAAGGCTGACCTTCTCCTGCTAACCACTAATCTAAGGGGGGTAGTCTCCACTGACCACCAATCTAAGGGAGCCCTTCTTAACTAAACATCACTCTGGGGGGGCTTTCTCCACTGACCATCAATTTAAGCGGACCCTTATCCACTGACCATCACTCTAAGGGGGGCTTTCTCCACTGATCACCAATCTAAGAGACCCCTTCTCCACTAACCATCACAGGGAGGGGGGGCTGTCTCCACTGACCACCAATCTAGGGAAACCTCTGTCTCCACTGACCACCAATCTAGGGAAACCTTACTCCACTGATAATCAATCTAAAGGAATTTTCACCATTTGATTTTCCTTTCTGGCCTTTATTATGTTTTATTTAGTTTTAATGTTATTTAAAAATATGTTTTGTATAGAGTGGGTATCAAATACATAAAAGTATCCCACATACCTTTTTCTGTTACTTAATCTTATAAAATTATTTTTATCAGTTTACTCTTCATGCTAATGTACCATGAACTGTAGATATAGTCATTATTAGCAAGGGTTCCCTGAGACCCATAAGTTATTTCCAAGGGTTCTTTCACATTTAAAAAAGGCTGCCTTAAATGTGTTTACATTTGTATTGACGATCCACGTCAGTCATGTGTCTTTAGGGTGTGTACTTGGCGTCAGAACCGATCTCATCGCTGTAATGGTATCACTAAAGAAATAAAAAATGTTTTCTTGTATGATACAGTAGACTTGTTTATGGCAACTCAAGCTGCGGTTAGTGATAGTACACATATCTACACAGGAAATTCTCTAAGCATTATACTAACATCAAATAAGGAGGGGAAATCACTATATGAGTTGCAATGTCAATTGGAAAACTCTAAGAAAGCGAGTAATGTGAAATATTTATAGGTGGAATTATGATATTCTTATTTGATCTCTATCACGGTATCTGAGGAAACCAAAATGTTTCTGCAACATTTTTTTTACTTTTGGTAATAAACCAAAAATATATATTTTTTCATGTTTTTGCAAAATTGATGATGTGCCTTAAAGTTCTTATGGATTGACAACATGTGAATGGCTGCTTGTAAAGGGCATTTAAAGCCTTCTAGCCCCCCTTCTAGTCTGTAGTGTGTAGCCGAGGTCTTGTTCTATGATTGGAGGAACTATTCCTCGAAACAGGAAAGAAGGCACCAGTTGCTAGTTGGATTGGGGAATTCTGCGGAGCCTGTTAACCCAAAAAAGT